AAATGACCAATAATAAGTCAATCCTCCGGTTGCGTTCTGCTAAATGAATATCACTGAGTATTCATTTAGGTTCCAGTGTCAGCTTCCTGGACACTGTTGACCTCCAGATGATTTGTAACCTCTCCACACCAGGTTCAGGACCTTCCATCAAAGACAAGTATGTGACAGCGCTGTACTTCACCTTCAGCAGTCTGACCAGCGTGGGATTCGGAAACGTGTCCCCCAACACCAACTCTGAGAAGATCTTCTCCATCTGCGTCATGCTCATCGGATGTAAGTCACGTACATGCAGCTGTTTAAAGCCTTTAGACCAGAATGAAGGAAAGTTTGCATCAAATGTGAACGCCACTAATAAAATGTAGTTCATTGTTATTAATCAGTAACAAACCTACAACAGCAGAAATAGCATTCATAAGGGCAGTCTGTTTTACAAAGTGTATTTCACCGACATCAGAGATGGAGAAGCCCTCGCCCTGCGTCACTATAGAGAAAGTCTGCAGTGCTTCCTGGTTCTGTTACTTTTCTTTGAAAGCAGTGAGCGTGACTTTAATGAAACCAAACCACAGAATAACAAGTATAATTTACTCTTAATAACATTTGAATGTAACTAAATATGCAAACACTTGTATATACAACCCTACTGATTGTGTGTTTCCATGCAACAGCTGCAAATCCTGTTCAGGTTTGTATAACCAAAGTAAAGAAACACTCGTAGCTGTTAGAGGTCACTTTGTTTCTTTTTTATTATTGCGGGCTGTGTTCCTCCTCCACACAGTTTGGCACTTCCTTGGCCTGACAATGACCCGAGGCTTTTAAAATGTCCATTATTTAAGGACAGTCTTCTGTAGGATGTGTGCGATGAAATCACAATGACCACGTTCACTCTGACGCACACACATGCAGACATTTGAATACACACTTCTTTACACACAGCGTTTTTCAGTGGTTGATGTAGACGGTGATGGGAGCTGACAGAGGTGGGGAGGTTAGCGGGATCCAACATGACAAACAGAACAAAGCAAAGACTCTCATGAAGGATACGATACAAACTCTCTGTCCTCTGCAGCCAAAGCCCTTTGAGATGAGTCAACTTCCTGCTGCAAGATCATGGTCAGGGGTCAAAGGAGGGGGCGGGGCATGTTTTGATTGGTTTTTGTTAAAATGATCTGAATGTGCTGCAGTCATCTGGCTCAGCAAATGACATTATGCATAATGGTAGGTGGAGTAAGACTATGATTTGTGGGGCGCTCCTGCCAACAGCATCAGAACTGGACCAGTTAAACAAGCTGGAATCATGTGGGCAACCAGGTGTGTGGGGGCTGCACCTGGTACCAGGATGCACTATGGGAAGAAGGCGAGCTGGCAGAGGCTTTGGCAAAGTCCTGCTGGGAAACCTTGGGTTTGGGGGGGATGTTTGGTCCAGTCATCCATGTGAATGTTACTTTGGCACCTACCTAACCATTGTTGCACGCCACACACACCCTTTCATGGAAACGGCATTCCCTGATGGCTGTGGCCTCTTTCAGCAGGATAATGCATCCTGTCACAAAGCAAAACTTTTTTAGAACAACAAGAAGAGTGATCCGTGGAGGCCCCACCTCACAACCTCCAGGACTTCAAGTTCTCAGTGCTTGAGTAAAGGAAACCCCGCACATCCAAACGGTCTCATCACTGTATGAACGCTGCTTTCGCTCCATACTGTCTGTTAATGTGTATGTTTTCTCTCACTGCTCCCATCTCCAGCCCTCATGTACGCCAGCATCTTTGGGAACGTCTCAGCCATCATCCAGCGGCTGTACTCCGGGACGGCCCGCTACCACACCCAGATGCTGAGAGTCAGGGAGTTCATCCGCTTCCACCAGATCCCCAACCCACTCAGGCAGCGGTTGGAGGAGTACTTCCAGCATGCCTGGTCCTACACCAATGGCATTGACATGAACGCTGTGAGTACTGGGCCTCGCACACAAACCCTGGGAGGGTACACTCTCCCATGTGTGACTACACACAGCGTTTGAGCCTGCGTTGTATGCTAATGTTTGATACGGTCAGAGAAAATAAGAATGCTGCGTACACACACGGGACACAAGAAGGGCTGCGAGCAAGCTTTGCAACATGGATTCCTGTCAATTTGTTCACATGTGTAACAGAGCGAAGGTGATTTTATTTCCACAGTGTTTTTAAAGGAGGGAAACCTTCCTCCAAACGGACAGAGCAGCGGAGCCGCCAAGGGAAAGCACACGAATTAAAAACTGTAAAGTTAAAATATAATTTATTATATTTAAATAGTTAAAAATATAAAATGAATTAAAACAACCCTGGCCAGGGGACAACACAATAAAAATCAATAAAACACAACATTAAAAGTCCAGTGGCGTCCGCCACGGTATAAGAGTCACTAAGAATTAAAAATCCAGTGAAGCGGTGGAGGAGGGAAACCCGGCGGCGTCCTCGCCTTCCTCTCCGCGTTCTGCACCCCGGTGCGCTAAAGAAAGGGAAGCAGCGGCAGTCACTACTCTTTTAGGCAGCTTTCATTCATTAAAGGGGACGAGTCAAAAGACTCTCAACTCTGCCCGCCGCTTCTTTGTAACTGACAATCGGCACCGGCCCGTCCGCCGCCTCTACTTTCCCGCAGACGCGTAATCTGGCCTCCTGTTGCTGCAGCAGTCGAACCGCTCGCTCCGCGTGGCTGGCGCCGTATCTTCGCCTCTCCTCAACGCCAAGCTCCACCAGTCTTATGTGTCACTGACCACTCTCTGTAAATTACCACTCCCTTTCCTCTCAGGTGTGTCCAATTAGTAAAACGGGGAAAAGGGCGGAGTCTCTCCAGGACAGATTGACAGATGCAACCAAAACATGCAGTATAAAAAATAAATAAGCACACTTCACATTAAAACACAGCAAAACAACATCCGTCCTTCCCTGGATGACACATGCATGAAGCCTAATCTGCACACGCACGTGTTCATCACGTTGTGCTGCCACATGTATTTTACACACATTAAAGCGTGAGAGGAGAGATGTTCATTTTAATGTGTTTTACCACCAGAGAGGAGAATGCACTTTGAAACAAGCTGGAGCGTTGACACCCACGGGCACAGTGAGTCACATGTGTCCGTGAACACTTCAAACGTGTGCTGTGCATAGCCCACCTCAGCCTGAACCTGTATTGGTTCACATGTTGCTCTGTCTGTAGCAGTGTCACCAGGGGAACAGTGGTGCAGCCATACAGGGACATCTGCTGATGCACGTCACCTGTGATGTTACTTTCTGCATGCTGTGTGTGGTTTAACCAAAAAACTATAGACGTTTAAAAGTCGCCTTTGCACTGTCTACAGATTGTAAGCTCATGAGTAGTGATGGGTATCGTTTAGGTTTTATCCGATACCGGTGCCAAACCGGTACTTTTGAAACGGTGCCGGTGCTTAAACGGTGCTCAAACCGGTGCTTAAAGAATGGAGAACACAAA